TAGAAGGGCAGAGGCTATTTATTCAACAGTTGGGTTATACAGAGTAATTACGGGGGCAAAACAATAATACGAAGTTAAAGCATGTAGTTAAAGGAGTCGATTGTACAATTCCAACTATATCATGAGCAAGTGTTTATGAACTACTATCAACTTATTGAATAGGTGTTGGTGTGTACTAATGATCCAATATGACCTTTCCAGTTCTTGCTGTCTGGTCCCATTGAGACGTTCACACATCCAGATGATATGATATGGTCCGGGGACTTGTTGATCTCCAGTAGCTCAAATAACCCCTGCATGATCTTCTCAGGGAAGTTGGCTGAGTAGATTCGCTTAGGTATCCCATAATGTATGATGAAGTTGTTGAAGAAGACCTCAGCAGATGTCTTGTTCGTCATGTGAAGTGGTCAGTCACTAATTGAACATGTTTCTGCTCTCCCTTTAATGGCTCCAGGTTCCATGCAGACCAGTTCTCGAGGCTGCTAGGTTTCCATACTGACCACTGGTGTTTTATGACGCAGACATTGTTGAACACCCTTTGTCATCCCAGGCCAATACAATATGTCCGTGATGAGATAAAGGGTGCTCTCTCTCTCCCTGGATGTCCAACGTTGTCATGGAGACATTGTAAAACATCACAGATACCTCTTAATGAATCCTTGTTTATTTCTTCCATTTGTACTTGATCGTCTCTCTGCGACAATCTGGACAGGACATCAGCATCTATACTCCTTGACAAAAGAAACGTGAATATCTTATATGTTGTTTAATATATGCAGAATTCCTCATATTCAAGAGATATTAGATTGGTTTGATGCACAAACGAATATACTGGTATGTTGTGAGAACCGACGCCGATGAACGCATCACATGTGACGTCATAGATCCATGACTCGAGATGCACTATTTTTTTCGTGCAGGATTAGTGAGTAAAGTTAGAAATCACATGCAGCACATTCTGATAAGAGTAAAGAAACTCTGTGGTAACACGTGACTGATTGTTAGCTTTGTCATTAATTCCTACAGAATGGAAATAGCTCTTCTTAACGTACATAGTCTCTATATGTTTTTATGGTTCGCGTTTCTTTTGGTGGTGAGTATATATTGGACTTTCCTGATCTGTACTGAATGGTGAAGTTCTAGTTGGCTAGAGAAGCTTACCAACGGTGTCTTCTGCAAATCATCATATTCTTAAACCATGGTTTAATACCGACTGCAAACAAGCAAGAACATATAGGAGGAAAGCAGACAAATATTTCGGCAAACATCCTGCAGTTCATAACTTCAATAATGTCAAAATTACAAGTGCCAAGGCACGACGTTGTTATGAACAAAATAAGCGCCAATCTTGAAGGAACTATGTCTCCAAAATTAATTCACTCACGCCAATGTTTGCAAGTTTGGGAACATGGTAAAAAACATAAAGGGCAAAGGCATTGCAAATAAACTTTTGCCAAAAGCTCTTCATTCTCAAATTATGTCCCTGAGTTTCAGAGAAATCAGAAACAAAAGGAACAGAAAAAAGTTAATTTTGATTTTCATAACGGTGATGATGACAATGCAGTGTTGTGATTGCATGAGCTACATGCCGCTCATGCATACTGCAGCAAGCTCATGATACTGCAGCAGGGGATGATAATATCGACAAGTTATTGAAGCATTTGTTGAATCATGTCTAGAGACATTTTTAGATATTTTAGACCACATATGGACTTCGGGGAAATTTCCTCATACGTGGCATAATGCCATTGTGGTCCCCACACCAACACTTGCCCGGGATCACACAGATCCTTCCAATTACCCTACTTAATCTTTAACAAAACCATGAAACGAATAGTGAAAAATAGATCAGTTTGGTATTTGGAAACCAGTGGTCTTCTCACAGATATTATTGTGGAAAAATATAGTACTATTGATCATTTAGTACGATTGGAATCCTTTGTTAAAAATGCTTTACTAAGTAAACAACACATAGTATCTATTTTCTTTGATCTTCAGAAAGCATACGATACTACCTGGAAGCATGGCATTTTAAAGGATTTACATGATTTTGGCTTGAGTCGTCGTTTACCTCATTTTTCTAACCTCTGTTTTTAACAGACAAGCAATTTCAAATCTGTTTGGGTACGACCATTGTACTCAGGATCAGGGTGTCTGGCGAGGCAATATTTTGTCTGTCACTGTATTTAGTATTAAAATGTATAGTCTTTCAAAGGTTTTAAGTGATTCAATAGATGGATCACTTGTCGTGGATGATTTTAATATACACAAAGAAAAAAGTTAAGCACACCCTAATATATTTCATTGTTGTTTGGTTCCAATATTTGTAACAGTCATGAAAGATATTATTACGGGAAGAATTATGTTTTCTCGACATGATGTAATCAGGCATGCGTGACGAAAGCTCACGTGCCTTGCATGATATGCCCGTGCAACATGCTACCCTCGAGTATCTCTAAAAGCAATATATACAAACGTTAAAATTGCTTTCTTTAGCTCAGTTTTAAACAGTTATTCCATGACATTGTGTAACCATGACACGAAGGCGATTATCAAACGCCACAAGATGGCAAATAATCGGCATGCATAATGCAGGAATGTCTTGTAATGCCATTGGTCAGATTTTGGAGTATCATCACACTGTCGTAAGCCGTTTAGTCGAGACAGGGACCTTCTTCGTCTCATACGCTGAAAACCCTTTTTAACAAGTAATCGTCTGAAACAGCTGTGGTTGCCCAATCGTCGTTTCAGCACCAGAACCGTCAGAAAGCGGCTGAAAACAGCAAGAACATTAAACTGACTGTTTCGTAATACTATGATGGGGGTTTGGGGTTGTGGGGTGTATCTCTCATGATTTGGTCACCATAAGGGGCAACTTAACAGGGGCTCAGTACATCCGGGACGTTTTGTGGCCAGTCGTCGTTCCTAATTTTGACAAACGCCATCTTGCTACTCAACCTCAGTACATGGATGACAATGCCAAGCCTCATCGTTCGCATGCAGTCGTGGATTACATGGGGGCCAATGCAATAACGCCTCTACCCTGGCCAGCAATGATCCCAGATTTGAACCCCCTTGAACATGTTTGGCATATTCTGGGGCGGCACATACAGGCACGAGATCCACCTGCATTGCATCAGAAGTGGTTGTTGTTGACCAATCAACAGATCCAACGTCTGACTGGAGGCATAAGACGTCGGGTGGAATGCGTCATCCGGGCACGCGGCGGTCATACCCGCAACTGATCTGTTTCACTTGTCAAGTAGAGACGTTAAGGAACATTTTCACATGAAACATAAAACTTAAATCGTTTTCTTAATCCTGCAGCTCCATACTTTTTTTAGGAATTGTCTAAGGTCAAAAACAGCACATGTGTTATCATGTGATGTTTTTGTCAGTAAATGTCAATCACATCTCACCAATATCTTCTTTATTTATCCGATGACATTGGTATCGCCCAGCTCCTGTGGTCAGTCATCCCATGCAATGATTTTTGCCATTTGTCATGGTTCAGAAATAGGGCCGTGCTTAACTTTTTTCTTTGTGTTTATAGTTTTCGATTTCGCATTATCAGGTTGGGATAACAGTGATGCAATTTGTATTTTTTCGACGCATTTACAAACTTACACTGCGTCAAATACGCAGGAATGTTGCGTCACGTTGAACCCTTACTTGACGAATAAATATTCACACTGACACATTACTCTGTAACAACTTACAGGTCCAGAACCGCTGTGAATATGACCAGGACAAGCTGACCTGTCAATGTTTCTTTGTGTATTTTTTTGTCAGAACTCATGCTTTTCATGCATAGGGCGTGGCATGACCAGCCGATTTATAGACGGTAGAATTGACCCGATTCCATCTGGGTGAAGTAAGGGTCGAAGTGGTGTGTTGGGCAAAAGGAACAACTGTTCGACAAACACGTTGCCCAATTTGGTCGATCTGTCATATTCTAGTTACTGTAAGTTTTTAAATAGCGTAAAGATATGTACTATTAACTTGTATACATTCTCGTCGCGATATGGCTGACATATTGCCAATGTGACGTTAAATTTTAACCTTCGCGTTATCATTTAGGAATCAACATGTAACAATACCAAATTCAATTACATTTTGAACAGAAATGGCTGAGGAATGACTTTAAGAAGTTTCATCATTCAGTGTTATCAGAAAGCAAAGGTCAAGTTAAGGTAAAAGTTAATGATATCGCAAACCACGGAAGGTATATGTTCAGCTCCACTACTAACTACACATGTAACAAACTTGCATTCCATTGAGAAACAAAAAAAGCTTAGTTATGGACACAATTAGACTTTTGAATATGGCCATCATGGCGGTCATATTGAAATTCACTCCGCCATTTTTCAAATCAACAGAGGGGCGGTAGGGTAGCCAAGTAGTTAAAGCGTTCGCTCGTCACGCCGAAGACCCGGGTTCGATTCCCGACATGGGTACAATGTGTGAAGCCTATATCTGGTGTCCCCCTTCGTAGTATTGCTAAAAGCGGCATAAAACCATATTCACTCACTCACTCACTCAAATCAACAGAATTGACTGTTGACATTTTAATGCAGGTGAACACGATATTTTTATATGTTTATGTGAAATTAAATATACTAACTTCCTCACCACTGCTTACATCAAATAGTACTTCATTCCTGACGACATATCATTGTCCAAATACGATGCAATGATCATCTGCTGAATCGCAAAAGAAACAATGTTATACAAGAACAATCGTAATGCCATATAACAACTATAATGACGTCATAGCACTGGAACGCACGCGAACTCGTGTTTTAACTATTCTTCACAACAATACACAAGGGGTAGAGCAAATCGAACTTTATTTCTGAAGGAACGGTAAACAAGTGTTTGAATATAATATAATATAATATAATATAATATAATATAATATAATATAATATAATATAATATAATATAATATAATATAATATAATATAATATAATATATATATATAAATCTTTTACCTAAACTATCAATACATTTATAAATGAAACCTATATCTCGAACATTTGTTTTAAACGAAATGTAACCGTTGGATAAATTTACGTAAGCTTCAAATGAATGGTGTGAAACGTGTTGAATTGTATTTGTCACAAACACATGGTATGTTCAGCAATATGACATAATCCCTACTCAATGTGCATATTGGGCGCATGGGACAATTACAGATGATACATTTACTGCAATAAACGCAATTAGATGGCTTTCAAATAGATCGTGCAAGACAACAACAGGTTATCTCCAATAACAGGTATCCAGAACATCTCCTCAGGTAGTCCAGCTCTCTTCCCATCAGGAGTCTCTGACCAAACGCCATTGGGGTTACAGGGGGTGCAGTTCTTGAACCAGAATCCAGACTGGTGTTTTTGAGCACAGTTCAGAGTGCTGTCATCGTTATCATGGTCGAAGGTGGAGAAGGGCTGACCCTTCAATTCACTCAAACAGTCACCACCATGTTTGTCAGGAATTGTATGTCCCCATGTATTTTCGAATGTCATTCTGTACAGGCCATCTTGGGACAGGGTGAAAGATTTGTACATTCGCTGTCTTGTGAAGGTGGTACTCATATCCTTAGTTATAAAGCTGAGCGTTTGATTGCGTCCATTTGTAATGTAACCAATTTTATCGTTTCCAAGCCAGAAGTCCTTGGAAAGGTCACCAAAGCCATCTTTGTATTCTTGCCAAGATCGATAGAAATCGGCAGATCCATAGTTACGCTGTTGGGCATGTGTATAGCCACCGTCTTGCATCAAGCACTTGACTTTGAATGGGGTAGGCGCTATGTTTGGTTGAATTAAGTATATTCCTGACCCCGAGGTATAATGGCCTGTTTTATATCCTTCAGTACAATCTGAAACAATGTAATGCAATTTTGCATGACTCAACAGTATACGAAAAAGAAGCATTGACAAAATATTATAAAGAATTATTGCCAGATAATTTTGGTTCAATGTCAGAGATTTACAGCAGACTATAGAAATGAGACTTTTTCTATTAATTCATGTCATTTTCACTTCCCAACGAACGAATAATCAAAACAGGACCATCTAATATTGCATGTTTTCACCTGTAATGCTTTTGTGTGAAGGACAGTTCAGTTATGATGTAAAATCTTACCCTGCATGATCCTTTCACAGAACTGACCGATGTAGCCACCATAACATTGACAGGTTAGTTTTTCCTGGTTATATTCGCCCCCATTCATGCAGCGGTTCTGGACCTGTAAGTTGTTGAGAGTGATTATTGTTTAAATAAATAATGATTGTTCTTGGTTCCTCCCGACACCAGCATTCCTGCGTATTTGCCGCAATGTAAGCTTGTAAATCAGTCGAAAATGTACCAGTTGATACAACCTGATAATGCGAAATAAAATACATCATCCGTCACAAACTGGAACAATTAAACTGTCTCTTGCCATCACAAATTGATCAAGGGGTTCGAATCCACAGCAACCATATTGACAAATCAATTAATGGCCACTACTGTCTCATTGTTGACTGATGTAAGAACTTTTCTTCATTTGAAAGTTATAGTCCATGTAAATTCATGTCCGATTACTCTCATTTGTACATGAACGTCATACCTGCAGTCGCAGCTTACATTCACAAACATTATCCCAGTTACAGTGTAAAAAGGCACAAAAGAATCAAGCATGAAATGTGACTGTATATATTTTCGACTGACGCTGATTTTCATAGGCGAGGATAGTTAGAGATGTGAAGACATCCCTTAAAATGTTCAACTTGGGTAACAGACCTCCTCATACATGTAATTCGAAAGGATGTCAGTTTGTATCAAAGTGGAATAATTGAATAACTTTATCCTCAACGGGAAAGATGTGTAATTGTTTATGAAGCCAATATTTGGGTCTGAAATGTATATTTAGTTTCCGGTTAAGATATCGCATTTTACAATTGTCATAATAGTTATATTTTGTAGAAGTAGTTCATTGGTATAACACCCAATTCACTCACTGAAAGACTTACAATCAAATTTGTAGCTGTGGGAGAACTACCTGAAGTTTTTATTGCAATTGTTTATCACCAGAAAAAAATATATCCTTACCTACTTATTTTCATCGTCGTCACTACAATATTGCGCTTCATAGTCTGTTTACAAACAGTTAAAAGTACATAATGTATGTCCATAATCTATCCATAACTTGCACCTTTACAGTATCATTGCCTCACAGTATTGTGTGAACAGTTTTTACTTACATTGTAATGGCGCCAATTTCCACTGTAGCAGATTCCTGTCAGGAACATCTCACGGTGAAGCATACACATGTCATCAGTTGCAGACGCGCTAAAAGCCACACATCTGGTTTCTGTGACACACTGAACAGCACACGAGGCAACGCCATGCTTGTCTTCAACTACAGTTTCATTTATGGGAGAGATGAACTGAGTACACTCAGAATATGTTTTGGAGATAATGTTGGTATGATCGCCAGCAATGGTGTTGTAATGAATGAACAATGTGACAATAGCGAACATGGATAGGGTTGCCATAGCTCTTGTAGCAGGGACTGTGTTACTCTTCGACCTGGGATATTAGCAGTAGTGTTCATCGATTCACAGTTACGAAGCAGAGAGATTATATAGCAATACGATATGTTATGATAATTATATGGGAACGCCCTCAAGCTAAAGCAACACTGATGTCATTTATACACATATAATCTTACAAGCTGATTCTGAGAAAACTGTTTCACTATTGGGCAAACACATTTGGTTTAGCTTGAGATTTTATCTGAATTTGTTTTAACAAAAAAGAAATATGTTCTTTTGTTTATAAAAACGTGGTTTTTTTAACTCAATAACATGATAACCATAGCCAGCATACAGACAGTCTGTTTGGTTTGTTCTACATACCGAAAATAGCACTACTATTGAGGTAATTCTGTATACATTGAATATATTCGGAGAAAATTAATGTTCAACTGATTGCAATGCCCGGCTTAATTTAGGAGAAAATACTAAAATTCTTGTAGTAGAACCGGAAATACAATGAAAAGGATGATGCCAAGTTGATGTTGGCTGCCAGATGATCAATTCAACGTCAAGCGTGGTCACCGTTGGGTACGCAGGACACAATAGTCATGTCTCCTCCCCCATAACGAAACTTGGCATATGCATTGTTCATCAGCTTAATAGGTGTCTTTTGCTAGTTTAACCTTTTTTTAAATTTTACTTGTTTATGTTTCCATGGAAACAATTTCGACATACGTCTCAAACGAGGATAGGTTTTGTTTCTGGGCCATAACTTGAAAACCGTTCAATATTTTTCAACTACACTTCGCGTATGTATTGCTCATTAGCTTAACTGGTGCCCTTTTAATTTTTGATTTTGTGGAAATAATACTTATTTTATTATGCCATTGAAACAATTTCGCGGTAGTTTCAAACAACTCTTGGCTTCGTGTCCGAGGCTTAACTCTCAAACTGATGAATATTGCATGAAACGGTGCATCTGTAATGTCCATATGCTCTACTATTGCCTTTTCATATTATGTTCTCATGATCAGTCAAATCCTTTTGATGTAAACTGTAACCCTCCATCTTCCAAGTTGATATTTATTAGAATGCTTTGAAAGGCTGTTCAAGTGACGTACTCAGCCTACGTACTTTCACAAATACATAAGTTTACATCTTTATTGTTGACAAAACAACCTTCGTCAGCTATTAAATATTGCAAAAACAACCATTCAGTACCATCGACTTTTGATTGTCTTAATGAGAAATAATCAGATATCTGCATGTGGATCTAATAACCTCGTGGGGAGTACGGTTTATAGTGGACCCCTGGTACTCCATGGTTGTACGGGCCAACCTAAAAGAAGGTTGTATGATAACAATGTTGAATGTGTGCAATTGTGTCTCTTTGTCATGGATATTTGCTCATGCGATCTACCACTTGTTTGCTAGGTGCAGACGACTAGATTAACAGGCCGCTATGATATATAGGGAATATTGCTGTACGATTGAACAATTACTTCAGTGTACATTGTGTGAAATGGTAGATATATAAAACCAATTTGACAAAAATAATACAGAAGACTCAACCAAGCTCTGATTGGTTGGATGGAAGGTCGATCTGATATATAACGTCGTTCTGACATGACCCGTAATGGGATGTCCTCAGCGAGAACTAAGATGTGATTTTTATGAGTTGACAAAAGACTAATGTAAAACATGTATTATCACATAGCTCATCATATTATTCTGGTCTAGTGTTTATTCTTTTAAGACCGCTGTTGTATGGCAGGAGTACTGATGTGAAGCGTTGGGCAACAAATACTTATATTTTTATGCAAATTGTGCGTTATAGTTTTTGTTCCCCTGCGTTTGTATGGCAGGAGTACTGATGTGAAGCGTTGGGCAACAAATATGTATATTTTTATGCAAATTGTGCGTTATAGTTTATGATCCCCTGTTCTATATTATATCAATGTAACCAAATAAACACACCAAAACAAATTGATCAGTGTTACGATCTTTGGGATTTCATAATCGATTTAAGTGGTAAAACAAAAAATTCATCTATTGACAGTATTGATTTAGTGTTTAGTTCTCGTTTGATTAGCAATTAAACAAGTATTGAAAGCAATTAACGTGACCTTTGATTATTTCTGTTGATATATAATGCATCTGTATATGAATGGCGTCTAACGTGTAACCACCAACATAACAGCTCTCCTATAGGTTTGTAATAAGAGATGGTGCATAACAAATGTATCCAGGCAACCAGCGAAACAAATACCATTGTTTGAGCCAATCTTGTGACGAACGTCTAGTCCTCAAGTAATGATTTACTTTATTCCTAAACAAGTGACGGGTAATGTGTAAGATATAACATATACAAATTATGAAAATCCCTTTACATTATTATCCCCCGCCACACTGTGGCGTCCGTCCGTCCGTCACTTTTCGTTTCCGGAGCAGAAATAAAACAAAAAAATATGAGACATCTTTACCAAACTTGACACAATGATAGGTCTGGTGGTGAGCTTGAGCCTTTCCAAAGTGTGGGATTTAAAAAAAATAAAATTGTTCGAGTTTCCATGGCAACGACTTTGACTTTGACTTTCGTGTCTCAAAGATGGTAACATACTAATAACCACTAAATCTGAAATTGCCAACAAACTTGGTCAAACCATTACTCTTCTTCCAACTTTTAACCTCAATTTCAGAGGTTTCAAAAATAGCAGGAGAATATAAAAGTCAATTTTTAACTCTGATGATGGTGAGGACTATAACGAAACTTTTTCACTCTATGAATTACTTACTGCACTAGGGCAATCTCATGGCACTGCAGTAGGAGCCGACAAAGACATTATCAGCTCCTGAAACACTTGCCGGATGCATGTTTGGAAACGCTCCTTAATATATTTGATAAAATATGGACAACCGGCAATTTTCCCCCTTAGTGGCACAGTGCAATTATCAATTATAGACCAAAACCTGGACATGATCATACAGACCCATCCAGTGACCCTCCAATATCATTAACTAGCTGTGTTTGTAAAACCATGGAGCGCATGATCAACAATCGAGTAGTCTGGTACATGGAGACCAATCACCTCCTGACCGTGATTCTTTCATCACAAGGGATGCAGAATGGAGGATCCTCACCAATAAATATTCATGAGTATATCGAGAATGGCCAATACGACATCGTCTTGATATGACCTCTTCAAATCTGGACTGACAACCCAAGAAGGTATAACCGATATTTGCTTTTATTGCATGTAATTTATTTACACCCACTTGGGTGTCCTACTTCTTCTGCATTAGTTCTTTGATATTACATCTTATGACAGGTTAAAAGGCACTATGGTGTATAAGAAGTGGTGTCAGGAATTTGTTGAGTGACGCCTTAGCAGCAGCAGCAGCCATTGTGTTACCAACAATCCCAACATGGCTGGGTAACCAACAAAAGACGATGTCGTATTGGCCAGTAGCAAGATTATTGTGTAATTCAATGATGTTAAGAAAAATTGGATGTTGACACGAAGTATTTTTATTGCCTGAAGACAGGATAAGGAGTCTGAAAACATAATGAATTCCTTATAATTAAGTTTAGATTGTTTATTTATATACTGAACAGCATTGAAAACGCACCAGCAATAAATCTTGAAATATTACAAAAACAACTTGTGCAATGATCGATTTTAATTAGAACAGACATAGACGGATTATTAAGAAAGACGACAAAGGAAACAGAATACCACACAGTAATTATAGTTACGTCATCAGTGTGAGGAAGACACATAAGGTTAAAATGAAAAGTCAATATCTGGTATGTCCGCCATTGGCAGCAACACAGGCCATGCAACGTCTTTTCATTGATCGAATAAGTCTGCGAATAGTGTTCTGTGGGATAGCATTCCACTCTTGACGTAGTGTATCTTAAAGTTCTCTCAGGTTCCGTACTTGCGGACGACGTGAGAGGCGTTGACCCAGGTAATCATATAGATGTTCAATTGGCGATAGATGGGTGACAGGGCTGGCCATGGAAGCAGAGGCACATTATTGTTCGCTAGGTACTGTGTTGAAACACGTGCCGTGTGCGCTCTTGCATTATCTTGCTGGAAGGTGGGCATATCCTGGTGCTAATGAAAGAATGGGATGACGTGATTTGCCATTATTGTTATTCCCGAAGTAAAGGGCATTAACTCTTCCACGACAAACATAGAGCTCTGTTCGATGGTTATGACTGATGCCGCCCCACACCATGACACTCCCTCCCCCCCCCCCCCCCCCCCCACCCCCCCCTGCTGGTATCTGCTCAGTAGCCTGAGGACTGTTGAATGATGGCACTGAAACCGTTGTGCAACGACTCTACTTGACGTACCAACTTGAAGCATGCCCAAGGCACGTTCACGTTCCTCTGCTGTTAATCTTGGCATTTCTTGTGTCAGTACCCTTTACGTCTGCAGCAACAAGTGATGTGGTTTTTAAAAGTCTGTCTTTTATAGCCCTATTCTGCATGCTTCCCTTGAAACAAAACACGTTTTCCATGATGCGCACGCAATTTGTTGCATTTTGGCGTTGTCGCTCACAAAAAATTTAGGAATGTGTTTTGACGAGCTGTTCTTCTTCATGCTTCGTCCAGAACGTCGTATATTACTCATTCAATTATATATTTTCATATGACATAAGCCCGGATAAAAATACATCCATTTTCATGGTGGTGCGTTTTCAATGCTGTTCAGTATGTATTCTAGAGCAGTTAATATGGCCTTTGACTTAGCTGTAAAAATTGAAGAGTCATCTGGTTATCTCGTTGATATAGTTCTGGATCCAAAGATAGTGGCGCTGGCAACAGCACGTCTATCCTTGGATCCATCTGTAAATATTGATTTGTAAGTATTATATTCGTTTCTTACATCATTATATTCTTGTTGATATTGTAGTTGAATAGTGTCAGATTTCTTTAGTTTAGATAAGGTAAGATCCATCTGTGGATTTACCAATTGCCAAGGAGGAGAAGAAAGCAGGCGAGAAGGAGACATATTTTCAAGTTTATTTCCAGCAGCAGAAATAAAAAGGTTTAATTCTATTCCGAGAGGCGAAAGGAGATTAAATACAAAGCTGTAGAATTGGACTCATAACAATATAACTTTGTGATGTACTGTATCGAAAGTTTAATACGGCGCTGTTTAAGAGATGGCTCATCGGTCTCAATGTACAAACTGTCAAAAGGGGAGGTTCGGAAAGATCCAAGACAGAGTCCTATAACTTGATGATGGATTGAATCTAAAAGTTTAAGGGTGCTTTTAACATGCTCCACCATAGATGAAGGAGCAATTGTCGAGTTTAGAACGGACGAGTGATACATTACCCTGTCCGGAAAAATGAAATTTGATGATAAAAAACAAAGCAGATGACAATAAAACTGATCGCACAAACGCATCACGGCAACGGCCATGGTAACCCGATGCAGGTGAGTTCCGTGCAAATTGAAATGCACATGCGTTCCCCCATTTCTTGCACTATAAAAATCCACCCAGATCGGATAACATTCATTCGTTATTGAATTGCTACCACATGCAAGGATTGACAGGAAATCAGCGACACCAAGCCCTTGGACGATTGCAAGCTGGACAAACCGCCCGGCAAGTAGCCAGTGCACTTCAAGTCCCCGTAACGACGATATACAGGCTCCAGCAACGGTACCAGACCACCAACACTACAGATTACCGACCACGTAGTGGAAGACCAAGGGTCACCAACAGACGTCATGATCGTCAGATTGTGCGACTGTGTTACTGCTGCGGAAACTGCTCCACAGACCATGGGGACACACCAGCGACACATTAGTGCGGACACCGTGCGTCGACGATTAACGAGCAGACACATCCACTATCACAGGCCACACCGAGGACCCATTCTGACACCACGTCATCGCCGGGACCGTCTTCAGTGGGCAACACAGCGCCAGCATTGGCGCCACCAGCAGTGGAGAAGAATCCTCTTCTCAGACGAGAACCGTTACTGTATCTCAACAGCAGATGACACAGAGAGAGTTTGGCGACGCCGTGGGGAACGTTATTCGAATGCTTATGTTGTTGAGAGAGACTCGTTGGATGAGCATCATGGTGTAGGGTGGAATTGGTCTTGCACAGACGGTCGGCCATGTGGTTTTCCAGAACATCTGTCCAGGGAGAGGCAATGGTGTCACAGCAGCTCGGTACATTGATCAAGTCTTGAGACCACATGCCATCTTTGGATAAATAATTCGATTGTTGAGGTTAGTAATCTATAACATTGCTAGCTAATATCTATGTATGTATTTGTATAAAAATATAACTTATGTTTTCTAGGTTGTGTAGAATGTTATTTCGGTATCATTAACATGCTTATCTCTGGCATGGTGACTGTATCACCATATTGCTAAGTTAGTAATTAAATAAGGCTAAGTAAACATTTTACATGCTTTTCATCATTCTACTCTATTTCTGTGTGTGAAAGTTTGAGTGAATGCATTGATTTTTATAATTGTGTACATACTGTATTTGTATGCTTTGTCAAACGTTGTATGATGCTGTGTAGTTAGTTACATTTGCTACAATTCTTCAATTGTATTCTTTATGTTATATTTATTAATAGTTGATTCTATATGTAGGAGTGTGCTGATGGCTGCATAGACACCAGTCAAGGCGGCTGCCTGGAGACGACAAACACCTCAGTGTCACCGACAGGCTACGGGTAATTTACATGTGTGTCGTGTATCGAAATATATATTGTGAACATTGGAAATATAATTCCAATATCATAAGAGTTGTGGAAAGTTCCAGTATCAAAATTAGAAATAAAATACAAGATGTAAACATGGAATAAAGCGCAAAACATTCTCATAACACTTCAGTGGCAAAGGCCCGTGAAGATCCGGTGTAGAAAAGGTCTTCAGCAACCTATGCTTGCCGTAAAAGGCGACTATGCTTGTCGTAAGAGACGACTAACGGGGTGGGGTGGTCAGGCTCGCTGAATTGGTTGATCCATGTCATTTAATCTCAATTGCGTGGATCGATGACCAGGATATTGATATCGATCACTGGATTGTCTGGCCCAGACTCAATTATTTACAGAACGCCGTCAAAAGGCTGGTGTGCGTCGTTTAACATCAAACAATACTCTACAATAGCAGAAGTAGATTGAAACGCTTGTAATTAATAGAGGCTGTCTTTTGTTGTTATAGAGAGATTGTATAGAGAGGTCATCGGTGAGGTGTTTGCTTACAGACGTTGATTCACTTCTGGGATGTTGTACCTCATTCAAGTAGCTTCGCAAGTTCACGTTTTCTTGAAGTCTGACTGTATCTGCGATCTGACTTGAGACTTATCCACTTACCCAGTGTGAACGGAACACCAAGTTTCAGGTTTCAGCATGGTGAAAAGTCAGCAAGGCAAAGATAGAAAAAATTACTGTTACTTTTAAATCCTCAAAATTTATGAAGAAAAACATTTGAGCATCAACAACAGAAACGATGTCGTATTCGTTGACATTTTATCATTTTACTGACTTCCTATCCAGGTGAACAAGACATTTTATGTGTTTATCTGAGACTTTAAGAACATATAAACGAACAAAAGGGCAGACAAAAAGGTGAAGAATTGTGAAAAGTATGGCACCAATTCTCACGGGGACATGAAACTGTTCTTAACTATCAGTTTTGCAAGGCTGAGTTTGGTTGAACAAATACAACATGTTTACAAATTTTAATCACAAACATTTATTATCAAGTAGATGAAGAAGGGAGCAAGGCTTTGGTAAACGCAGCACTACACAGAACAAGCTACTGGGATGGTAGCATCATAACATCTGTTACCATTATCTAGAAATTTGAAACAATATAGCCGCATAACAAACAGGAAATGGCCAATTAAATTTAGAACATATTAAAATACCTTTTCATACATATAGATTTAGTTTAGATTTACCTTAATTATTGAGAGAGAAAGTATACCAGCTACAAAGTTGGTAGAATATCTAAAGATATGAAGATACATGTATACTGATTATGAAATAGGAGTTTATTTTTTAAGCTATTTTAAGTATTTACACAATCACATATCAATCAATGCATGATCTCAATGCACCTAATTTATATAACTAAACACACAGACGTATCTACTTGATACATAAATGTGAACCACAATATACATAAACGTGAACCAAACACACACACACGTTTGTATAGACATCCTGGGCACAGGCACTTTTAAACAAGAAACTAACCATCCGCTAGTTCACAAAATATGAAACACAACTGACTGTTTCAAATGCATCTGACCAACTGCTAACACAGGTACAACAGAAGAAAAGTTTACTTGCATAATACGAAGCTGGACAAAGCAAGACGTTTGTGCTGTTGGTGACTGTTAAGGTCATTGGGGTGAAAGTTGCTATTATGAAGTTAATAGTTATATCAGTGCTGGAGCTGATCTAATTGGTTTTTATATGCTGTTTAAGTAATCTAGCTTGAGACAGAAAATTGGAAGAATCAGAAACAAGGCAATTATCACACTTAACTAAACTATTTAAAAAATAGCATTAAAATCAACTCGGCCCCATAAAGTTATACGAATTTCCACTGGTGGGTGTGTATATTATGGAATCTGAACGAAAATGAAAACTATAAATGCATGGTGTGAAACGTGCTAATTTGTATTTCTCAAAACCACACGTTCGGCAAATTGACAATCCCTACCCACTGTGCATATTGTGCGCTTAAGACAATTACAGAGGATACATTTCCATCAATAAATGCATTTACATGGCAGACAGATGGACAAAGCAAGACAACAACAGGTTATCTCCTGTTACAGGTATCCAGAACATCTCCTCGGGAACTCCAGCTCTCTTACCATCTGGAGTCTCTGACCAAACACCATTAGGATTACAGGGAGTGCAGTTCTTGAACCAGAATCCAGACTGGTGTTCTTGGGCGCAATTCAGAGGGCTGTCATCGTTATCGTTGTCGAAGGTAGAGAAGGGCTGTCCCTTCAATTCACCCAAACAATCACCACCATGTTTTTCAGGAATGCTGCTTCCCCATGTGTCTGTGTAGCTCATTGTGTACAGACCTTCTTGTGATAGGTTGAAAAAAGTGTATATCCGCTGTCGTTTAGTGGTCATTTCCGTATTTTTAAATGTGAGCATATGACTGCGTCCATTTGTAATGTAAGCAATTTTGTCATTTCCAAGCCAGAAGTTCTTTGTAAGGTCCCCTAAGCCATCTTTGTAATCTTGCCATGACCGATTGAAATCAGTTGACCCATCTACACGCCTTTGAATATATGTATTGCCACCAGATTGCATCTTGCACCAGACTTTGAATGGGGAAGGCGCCATATTTGGTTGAATTAAGTATGTTCCTGACCCCTTGTTATAATGGCTTGTGCTATATCCGTCCGAACAATCTGAAACAATGTAATGTATGTCTCATAAAATGCATCTTATAAAAAGAAATGGACAAATTATATCAGATGTAGAGGCAGGCGTGAAACGTGATTCCTCATCAACATACAGCTCGGTTATAACAGACTTTAGAAATGAGCAGCAAGATAAAAACTTACTTTAATAATTAATTTGTGTCCTTTTTCAGTTTTTCAAGAAACGGATTAGTGAAAACAAAACCATCCATGACTGCTTGTGTGTACCTGTAATACGTTTGTGTGAATTCAAGATAGTCTAAACTAGAATGGACAGTTCAATTATGATGTAACGTCGTACCCCGCATGATTCTTTCACAGAACTGGCCGATATAGCCACCATAACATTGACAGGTCCGCTTGTCCTGGTCATATTCGCCCCCGTTCATGCAGCGGTTCTGGACCTGAAAGTTGTTTAGAGTGATTTGTAAGTGTGAATATTTATTCTTCAAGTCAGGGTTCCACATGAAGCAACAATCCTGCATATATGACGCAGTGTAAGTTTGTAAATGCGTCGAAGAATACAAATTGCATCATTGAAATCGAAATCTGCACACAAAGAAAAAAGTTAAGCATTTCTGAACCATGACAAATGGCAAATTATTTTTGGTGATACCAATCACATTGGATAGAAGAAACATTTGACAGCACATAAAGAAGATATTGGTGAGTTATGATTGACATTTACTGACAAAAACATCATGGTAACACAGGTACTGTTTTTTGACACTACCTCAAAAGAGTATGGAGCTGCAGGATTAAGTTAACGAGTTACATTTGATGTTTCATGTGAAAATGTTCCTTAAAGTCTCTACTTGACATGACACGTGAAACAGATCAGTAGCGGGTATAACCCCACGTGTCTGGATGACGCATTCCACCCTATGTCTCATGCCTCCAGTCAGACGTTCGATCTGTTGATGGGTCAACAACAACCACTCCTGATGCAATGCTGGCGTAAATCTTGTACAGGAGGATCTCGTGCCTGTATGCACCGCCCCAGAATATCACAAACATGTTCAAGGGGGTTCAAATCTGGGCTCATTTCTGGCCAGGGTTGAGTCGTTATTGCATTGGCCCTCATGTAATCCACGACTGCATTCGAACGATGACGCCTTGCATTGTCGTCCATGTACTGAGGTCGAGTAGCAAGATGGTGGTTGTCAAAATGAGGAATGACGACTGACCTCAAAACGTCCCGGGTGTACTGAGCCCCTGTTAAGTTGCCCCTTATGGTTACCAAATCCAACCTGCAATCATGAGAGATGCAGCCCCAGAGGCAAGAGAGTTAACTGACTTTAAAAGTCCAGTTTCCACCCTTGCCGAACTAGGCATTATGGAGTTACATTTTGGCTTGGCTAACGAGACAATGCATAGTCCAATCAAATTCGCGCAACGAAATCGAAATCCGGTTCGTAAACAGTCATGCTAATTTCGGTCGATTGCCAGATTTGCAAAGCATGTGCACGGCCAACTCGTTGTCAACAGATATTTTCCAAATATCTTCATGATTTTAATCAAGGTGTTCACGTGATTTGATGCACTTCGCAATGTAAGACCCATTTTGTCACAATATAGATCTTGAATATCGATCAGATCGTCTTGACTGGGCGCCGCCATTTTGTTTGAATCAAATGAAAGTGACACGAGTAGTGGAAGTGGTCCATAGGAGAGGTTTAGAAGGGACATAACTCGTAATAGCCACTGCCAGGCTAGTTCGGCAAGGGTGGACTTTTAAAGTCAGTTAACTCTCTTGCCTCGGGAAGATGCCAAACTCGTTCTTCCATCAGTGACGTGGAGCAGAAAGCGACTTTCGTCTGACCAATGGATCAGTCTCCAAGTTCTCAGATAACAGCTCTGTTGCGCAATACACCATGTTAAACGAACAGCTTTGTGGTGATCTCTCAACAAGGGACGCCTTATGAATCGTCAAGCCCTAAGTCCTGCTGCCTTCACCCGGTTCCTGACGGCTCTGGTGCCGAAACGACGATTTGGCAACCATAGCTGTTTCAGACGAGTACTTGTTGAAACAGGTTCTTGGCATATGAGACGAAGAAGTGTCGTCACAGGGAGTCTCCCGGATCGGGGACGGTCCTGTACATCACCAGTCTAAGCATGTTTCTCTTTCTCGACTAAACGGCTTACAATAGGGTGATGATACCCCAATTTCCGACCAATGGCATTACAAGACATTCCTGAGTTATGCATGCCGATTATTTGCCATCTTGTGGCGTTTGATAATCGCCTCCGTGCTATGGTCACACAGTGTCACGGAATAACTGTTTCAGCTTAGCGGTACCAACGTATAGTTACTCCAGATCCCGTCCTGATATACAGGGTGAGGTGAGATGAAATTGGGTTTAACGTCGCGTCCATGATTATTGCACTTATATAGCGACGTACATGTACGTGTGTGTGTTTGTGTGGCTGCTTGCACTAGTCCGGACTTATGCCGATTTATAGTGCTAGCCCACTGAGATACCATGCCACAGTTTAACATGAATTCCACTCAGACACAGTATACTGACTCCGAGCCGACCAGTCCTTGTTTTAGCCCCTTAATGCCGAGCGCCAGACAGGGTAACAACAAGTACCATATTTTAACGTCTTTTGGTATGACGCGGCCGGGGATCGAACCCCGGACCTTCCGCTCTCCGAGTGATCGCTCTACCACTAGACAACGGAGGCGGTCGAAAGCAACGTTAACGTTTGGATACACATACTTGTTTTCACGCATGATGACATACCAATTTGTTGAAGTCATTCGAGCCATATTGAAAAATCAAATTGAGGTCATAACTGACTCATTTTTTAATAACAATATAGACATTTGGAATTTGTTGAATTAACTGTAGGATTCAACACAAATTCCGTTTTTTGAAAATCTATATGTTGTCTTTGTTACAACAACGCTCTTGTAATCTCATAATAAATATTGCACTGGGTACATTTCTCCTCTGATATTTGAGTGCTTAACTTTGGTATGTATGTTTCTCATCATGTTAACATCATAATTTGTTTCTTTCGTTTGATTTTAGTAGTATTTTGAATATCAATGCTTGCACCAAATTTTGTTAGGTGGCTATCTTTGTTGACACTTTGACTGTTTACAATATATCCAGGTGAGATTTGTGAGGTTCTTCCCAGTATTGGACAGCTTCACCAAAACGCAACGTTCCCCAACAGTAGTGTGTGCCTCCATGTGGAGTTATAGACTGTGTGACGCATGATCCGATTTCCATTCTGGTGAGTCCCGTTGTTGTCTCTGTCAAGTAAACGTCTTGTCATCGTACCTCTGTGTTGCATGTTATGTGGGCGTGATACCTTACAGTGGTGTCAGCGGTGTTCAAGTGTGAATTCAGGGAAGAACTCTGAATGAATATGATTGAGCGGGGCATAGATGAACCAAATAACTTTACTGTGTCATCACCATTTGTACGCAAATCAGATTTATGTCCCATTAATGTCTCCAACTGAAGAACTTATGAGACTTGAGAGTTCAAAATATTTCAGCACACTTACAATGAATGCAGCTTACAATCAGATAAATCTTGCTGAACAGTCTCGACCTCTCACTGTATTTCATTTCGTTCGATGGTAGATCTTGCATCGAACTTTCAGAGGTTTGTTCCAATTTGTTTTCGGATATTATTATGCCTCTAAGTCGTATTGTAGCAACAAAACCCTTTCATAAACAGGACATCCGCATCCCAGTCCCTCTAATGCCCGGAACAAAAACAGCTCAACATACATTTCAAACTCTAATGAAAGCGTTCTAAAGCTCCTTGAGATTCAGGGTGATATACATTAGATCTGACCTGATGTATCTCCAATAACAACATGACCTGTTGAAAACGTCTAGGCATGAAATTCGACCCCTGATCCTGTTAATAGGTAGCCCTGTCATAGTGAAATACTTAATGAGCACATTGATCACAACCGCCGCAGTGACCTCACATAGTGGGATAGCTTCCGGGAACTTAGTATTAACGCACATCACCGTTAACAAGAACTGATTGTCCCGAGTAGTCTTAGGTAATGGTCCCACAACGTCAATAATGACCTTGGAGAAAGCCTCGCCCACAATTGGCACTTTTTACACAAGGGCCCCGGGAATTCCCTGGTTAGGTTTTCCTGATACTTGACAAACATGACAAAGCTTACAGAACACCCCTGGCCAGAAATAATCAGAACTAACCCACTCATAGGTCTTAGTCCTAACAAGATGACCAGCAAACAAGATCTCATGAGTCAAACTGAGAATACCATCTCAAAATTCACTTGGAACTACGACCTGCGTTCTATCGCTATCATCTAACTCAGATTTAGGATGCCTTCTCACCTCGATGAAATTGATCATACAACGCCTGTAGATCAGACAGCTGCAGATTTAAAGAAAGTGGAGCAAGACACAGTGCACAGTGTAAAAGCCACGTGTTATGTAAGGCGTACAGCAATAGCTTAAAGGTTGACATTTCGTGGGACAGGGCTGTGGCTCTATCATCTGGAGGAGAAAAACAATTGTAAGAGCTGTAGTGACGTAAGTTAGTTTTATATGTTTGCATTAAATAGAAACAGAATGCTGATGGTTTGATGGTTCATTTCTCAACTCATTGCCTGCTTGTATAATGACAACCAGCGACACCCGCAACACACCCGTGAAGATCGGGGGTAGAATAGGCTTTCAGCAAACCATAATTGCCGTAAAAGATGACTGTGCTTGTCGTAAGAGGCGACTAACGGGATCAGGTGGTCTGACTCGCTGACTTGGTTGATCCATGCTCATGATGTAAATCACTGGATTGTCTGGTCCAGACTCGATTATTTACAGACCTCCGTCATATAGCTGGAATTTTAGGCGTAAAACGAAACAAACCTAAACAAACCCGCAACAAAGATGTAGGTTAGGGAAACACTCCAGAATGCCCATGTCAAGGAAAAACTCCGGGCAGATTAAAAATGTTAACTTGGTTCAGAGCAGAACGTTCGCAATAAAGTCAAAGCCATAAATACCTATGCAGTACCCGTCCGCGTATCGACACCCTCACACAAAGAATCATGTCAGACAGTAGATCCTACCACCATCGATCAGAAGACACCAGACTGAGTGAGTGAGTGAGTTGGGTTTAACGCCGCTTTTAACAGTATTCCTGTTATATCGCGGCGTGTCAGCTTAATGTGTTAGGAAAGCCCAAAGTGATGCAGATCTTAGACGTTTACCACTTCGGTGAAACCCACGAGCACGGGTATGGTGCTGACAAACCTAGAAACATAATCGGGGCGAACCGGGATTCGAACCCATAATCATAGGTTTCTGGCGTGCCCAAGGGACGCAACTCTGCAAAGCGAATCGCGGCGCCTTAGACAACTGGGCCACCCGTGCCCCCCACCAGACTGAGTCTCA